TGTGTGTGTGTTGATGAAAACATGTCAGGTCTCGGTGTGCTTTTTGTTGCTCTGACGTGACGTCATCTTACTGCTTGTGTTTCTAATCTCTTGAACTGTAACGTGTTAATCAATGAGCTTTGGAGGAGCTTGTAGGAGGACTTTGGACCAAGCTGAGCCATCAGGCTTCATGTTTACTGTGAGACGTGAGAGTGGTATCGACCCTCTCCTCAAACTCTGGGCAAGAGAGCAATGCGTGCGCTTCCCCAAATCAAGATGGGCAGTATAAGTACGAATAATATAACAATTTACTTTACAAAATAGACCCAACAGATTGACGATGAAATTCGTTGCACATTATTTTTATCGACTGGCTGGTGCGTCCCTCCCTAAAACAGTTTCTTCAACAGGTTGAGATGGCTCCTGTTCACAGAATAACTGCGTCATCTCGAAGCCGTAAAATGTCCACGGTTATTTATTTCTACTCTGTTGGTACAGATCCTTTATTCTTGCCTTTTGCTCCGGTGCTTTCTAACTTGAACATCCCACTCCCCTCATCATTAAACTTCACTAACCAGGCCGAGGACCCCCGCCACAGCTGAGCTTTCAGCCGTTTGCCCTCCTGTACTTCCACATTCATCACTTCTCGTTTCATTCAGCTTTCACCTCGCTGAGCGCCGCTGTGTTTGAATCAAGGCTGCGAAATGCATTGTTTATGCCTCTTTTTATTTATTTATTTTTCTCTCTGAACTTGCCTACGCACACCCAAGTATTGACTACCGGTTAGAACTTTTTTTAAACCGAAGCAAAGAACTGCCTCTGAGGAACCGTATTATATTTCAAAAGCTTAAAGTTTTGCCTGCCGAGGCCTCGACACCTTGTCCGGCTCATGCGCGGAGCTATCCGTTAGCCGCCGACCGCCGAGCCGCTCCTCTGAGGTGATCGACCATTATTGATGAAGGGGAAGGAGGGAAGCACTTGTTGGCTTCCCCTCAGAGCCTCCAGCCTGTTTTTAGTGTAACCAACCGGCCGTCTGCCTGCTGAGCAGAGTGACTCCACAACACGACCGGGGGCTGGGAAAGGACACGCGACAGCCGGCGCTGAGCTTTTGTCTCTGACTGTGAATGTTTTTTTCTCTCATTCACTACCCAGATGAGTCTGACTTTGAAGAACACAATGGGTTGTTTTTGTCTCTCGTGCAGTTGAGTCTGCAAGTCTCTTTGAAAGCTTGTTACTGTAGTTGGAGTGACGGTGCTCGAGTAAGGCTTTGCTGCTAGGAGCGCTGGAGGGGACCTTTTTTGTTTTTCTTTTTTGGGGATTTAGAAATTTTGCAGACAAGCTCAGGTGACACACACACACACTGCTGTATTATGGCTGAAACTGTTACTTTAGTCATCTGAGGAATAAAAACTATAAAGCTGCTAAAATCAGTGTTTTTACCCTCAACTACTTTTACCGTAATATGTTGATAAAGTGTTAAAAAAATACTTCAGTATGCCCTCATGGAACGGCTTGTTTTTATTTAGTAAACATCATTCATAATAGCAACCAGAATCTTTTTGGGGTTTTTAACCAAAAAGCATCAAATCCCCACATTTTAGAAGCTTGAAACAGGGAATGTTTGAGATTTATTTCTTTAGAAAAAAATACTTTTTTTTGGTCAACGCATCGATTAATCCACTAGTCGTCGGGCTCTGATTGGAGTATTTACCGGCTAAATAACCAGATGTTTTCTTTAGGAGTTGGTGGGGACCAAAAGCGGAGCTTTTACCCGAAACCTAGCTTAGCATTTCTGTATATTTTCATGTCGCTCATCTTAAAGACAAATGCATTGATATCGATACATCGGCAGGAACATTGGCAGATTATTTTATTTTTTCACTAGTCGTTTAATCCGCTCCGCCCGCAAAGACGTCTCCGTCAAATGTTGAGCTTCAGTCCTCTGCACCTCTGGCTCACTGCAGGAGCAGACAGCAGGCAGGTGTTTGAATGGCGCCGTCGCCGCTCTAGTAGCAACTCTGCTGAATCCCATTCGCCCGCACAAACTTTTTTTTTTTCATTCACTCGGCAGGACTTTTCTCGGCTCTACGATTGAGTCCCAGAGGCATGAGTCTACTAAAGATGCTGCACCAAATTAAAGTATCCACCGTTACGGGAAAAAATGACAACCTATGCATGATCGAGGACGAGAGAAAAACGTGGACTTTGTTGACAGAAATGATGGCGCTCTCGCAGACCGGATCATTTAGAGCTGTCGAACACAGTTCGAGTCATGATTCCTTCCCCGCGATTTAGGATTAGAAGCCTTCTTAATTATGAAAGCCCATCGCAGAGGTGGACCGGTGAACACAATTCAAAGTTGGAGAGTTTCGCCTCATCAAGCTCATTTGGACTGAAGGCTCTTTGCCCTATTTGGTTTGCTTGACCTCTGTTAAAGGGAAAAATAAATCTGAATTAAACTGGCTGCCGGACACACCAGGGCAACCGAAGGCTTTTACTCTGCAGCCCTACTGCTACGTTCACATGATGCAACCATTACTTTGAAAATGCTCCGTTTCTTCTTCTCCTCCAGAGACTAGTGTTTTCAGGCCAACGATGGTTTATATTTCACATTAACACGTCCTGGAGATAACTAACGAGAGGCTTGTTTTGAAGAGAGGTTGTTCGATGAGCGACCCGCCTTTACCTTCTTATGGAATTTGTCTTTAGAGAAATACAAAGACAGCCGAACCTTGAACTCCTTTACTAGAGTAGAGTGTGGAACTGAGCGTGCGTAATTGTAGCATGAATGGAAACGTACGCTTGTGATTAGTGTAAGTCTGGGGGGAAAGTGTGTCTGAGGCTTAACGCCTTTTTCTTTGCTTTAAATGCAACGTACATTAAATGTGTTGACTTTTGTTACGTGCTCAAACTTTAATTCATGAGCTGCATGTTGGAAAATCTATACGTTTATACTATTCTTATTGTTATTGTTAATGTGGATGTGCCCTGAGATGCGTGTTTTCTTTTTCTCTCCTCCAGACTATCTCCGCCAAAGCTATGGACTGTCTTCGGACTTCGTTCCGCCGTGTGACTACAACAAACTGGTGCTGTCCCTCCTCTCGGGGCTCCCCAACGAGGTGGACTTTGCTGTCAACGTTTGCACTCTGCTGTCCAACGAGAGCAAGCACGCCATGCAGCTGGACAAGGACCCCAAGCTGGTCACGCTGCTGCTGGCCCACGCCGGCGTCTTCGACGACTGTACGTTCCCCTCGGATTGTGCTCTTAGTTCAGATGCTGAACAGCAGAATATATATAAGTGGTTTTAGAGCTCCAGACTACAAAGAAGCATAGCTTTGGACGGTTGATTCTCTCCATTTAATTAGCGTAGAGATTATCTGTTGTAAACTGTCGTTTGATTTAAGGTATCCAAAGGTGGATTCCTAACTTTATTGAGGAAAACCTAGTTTTCATTTTAATTGCGCGGCCCAATTTGCTGCCTGCCTTCTCCCCTCTTTTGTTCTCGGATCAAAGGTCCTCCGTTCTCATCATTTATCAAGAGGGAATTGAAGAACAAGGGAATAGAGACAAATAATACTGAACTGAGTACTCTAACCCTCCCTCTTTGCCTTTCCGCAGCGCTAGGCAGCTTCTCCGGGGTGTTCGGGACGGACTGGAAGGAGAAAACCTCCCGGGACTTTGTCAGGGTAAAGCAGAATAAGACTTTTTATTTGTGTGACCTTTGTGTGCCTTCTTCTAAATGTGTCTCTTGGTTTTGGCCTTTTTATATTTAGCTATCAAACACGGCTTTCACTGAGAAAGCCACAAAGCATCTGTTTCACTCTTCGCAGCGTGAAGATTTGTCAGAAAATCTTGCGGTTTTTTCCCCAACAGAGGAACCTCAGAGAGCGGTCGTCTCCAAGAGAGCCTTTAAATCAGAATGGAGGTCAATTTTGCTTTGATCTCACTCAATTTAAGAGGCGTGCATGAAAAGTAAAGACGTGACTCAGAAATAATGCAATGTAGTATTTCATCTCTTTTTCAGTAACTCTTTGACCTGCGTCTGGGGGAAGGCTGGTCTCCTACTCAGATTATCTTAACAGCACAGTGCAAGTTTTCATTATTGTGTGTAGAAATGTCTTTAAATCCCCACAGAGAATTATTAACATGTAGTGGCGCTGGTGCTAGATTAAAGGGGAACAATGTCTGTTTTGAGGTCACACAACATGTTATGTAAAGCCTTAAGAGGCTCCAGAGGGAGCTCTGTGACGTCTGATAAATGTCCTCAAGTGATGTCACTTGAGTCGGTGTCGGTTGGAGCTAAAGGCTACAAGTTTGAAAATGGAAAAAAATGTGGAGGTGTGGAGCAGGGATGTCACCTAGAACCGATACTTTGGAACCAAGTCGATGCCCAAATTCTGAAACCGTGAGCTAGTTAACGTTAGCTGTTAGCAGCCGGCAGGGCTAAATAACGGAGCGAACGGCTAACGTACGGAGGTTGCATTGAGTTACACTGTGATGCGTTCAAGCTCCATTCAATAAATGAGTATTGGGCAAAGGTAATATTATAACAGATCATACATATATATACACAGCTGTGCTGCATCGATTTTTGCATCGACTTGATTGATGATTTTAGCTGAGATTGAATTATTATTATCATAGCCGTTCGATGCTAACAGCTGCTGTTCTTCTGCAGTTCTGGAAAGAGGTGGTGGAGGACGTCGAAATCCGGGAGCTGATCTGGGACAAGAACAGCCCAGCACAAGGTAAAGGTGCTTGGTGCTAGAAGCCACAGGAAGCAGTAAAAGGGAACTCTCCTGTGTGCTCCCACTGTGTATTTATTGACACCTCCAATGCTGTGACATGCACACGTGTGCTTTGCTTTGTTTACTGCGACTTCCCTTCCCAGTGTTGCTTGCGTAATACCTGTGAGTGGGATGTGTGCTGTTGTCTTTTAAACCCCCCCCCCCCAACTTAGTGTTTCACATTCCTTTTTACAAAGGATTGGCACTACAAGATTTAATAATCAGGTGCACCAGTTGGAGAAATGTTACACCAGCTTCTGATGAACGGAATCGATAAAAAGAGCAGTTCTCTCTGCAGATGGTACGTCAAGGGAGGAGCGCTGGCAGAGCCTCTTCCACCCACCGCGGAACCAGGGCATCAGCGACATGGAGGCCCAGCGGGTCCTGCAGATTGCCGTTATCCTGCGGAACCTCTCCTTCGAGGAGGCCAACGTCAAGCTGCTGGCGGCCAACCGAACGTGCCTGCGTTTCCTTCTGCTCTGTGCCCACTGTAACCTCATCTCACTCCGACAGCTCGGACTCGACACGTTGGGCAACGTGGCTGCCGAGGTTGGTCCGCTGTTAAATATCACAAGCAGAATGTCAAAAAGAGCAAGCAGATCATTTTGTGGTTAGTTCAGTTATGTAGTAAAAACCGTGTCTGATGACGGGGATTTCTTTCCAAATGTAGGTTACTGTGACGGCGTTAACAGTCTCGTCTTAAGCCAGTTTAGTTCATGTATGGCATCGGCTTCGTCTAAAGGAAACGTAAACCGTGTATTACACTCTTCAGTGGTCCGAACTGATTTAATTGACCAGCAACTGTCCAATCATAGCACTTCAACGGTAGCTGCCGCTCTGGATTCCTCCACATGTTGCATCAGGCTGTAGCAAAAGCGATGCTCCGTATTTGAAGAGTTTGGAGAATCTTTTATTTTGAGAATGGATTCAACTGTCTGTTCATCTGCTCGTGCAGATCAGATGCTTTGACCTTTTGTGAACACAATGTTTCGTTGGCTAACATGCTTCTTCTAAAATCAAGTTTTACATATTTATTTGAGCGTGAATTCTCAGTTTCTAGCCGTTACAGATGTACATTCATCTCAAACCTTGTTGTCTAAAAGGCTGAAATGTAGAGATTGCTGACGTTGAGAATGTTGGTGAAGTACTAGCCGTCAGAGGGAGAAATGCATCACATTGCTCGCTTGAATGTTGATCTCACATTTATTGTTATAAGATGCATGTGGATGAGAGCCGACGTCTATTTTTAGAGACTGCATGCATAGGGTCCCTGATAGCATCGGTTAAGCCTTTGATGCCATTAATTGGATGGTTGGGTTTAAGCCAGTTAGCACATTCGTCAGATACGATACTGCAAAGCCTTCTGTTGTAACACAACGACTACTAGAGCGCCCGTTTTGGTTGCCTTATATGTTGTGACCCAAGAACACAAATCATTAACGTCACGAAATAATAACTGTGCTTTGGCTTGTGGCCAACCTGCAGCTTTTAAACATAGCAACGTGGCCTTTCTTTTGTTTGGTTCAGTGAGGTTCAGCCTCTGCCCGGGGCCTACAGGTGGAAGCTAGCCTTTAGCTATATCTGGTACATTATTTGCAGCATGCATTGTCCCCGCTGAATAAACAATGAAATAGTCGTTATTCATGTCGGGTCTCATTGTCTTATGGGAGGTTGTAATATGGATCGTTGAATGAATCTCGTCTGATTTCACTGTAGCTCCAGCTGGATCCTGTTGACTTTCGGACGACTCATCTGATCTTTCACACCATCACCAAATGTTTGATGTCCAGGGACCGGTTTCTCAAAATGAGGGGTGAGTTATCCGGCGGGGCCACTGCGGTGACGTCCTGGTGTCAGAATGCCGTGTGAAGCTTCTTAAGTTAAATGCGTGTCTCGTTTTTTTTTTTAGCCATGGAAATCCTGGGCAACCTCAGCAAGGCAGAGGACAACGGCGTGCTCATCTGCGAGTACGTGGACCAGGACTCTTACCGGGAGGTGATCATGCTCCTCACGCTGCCGGACCTCATGCTCCTCATGGCCTCCTTGGAGGTGCTGTACCTGCTGGCCCAGCTCGGAGAGATTCCCTGCAGCAAGATCGCCTCCGTCGACCACAGCATAGGTATGACTCGTCTACTGTCGTATGTTTTGTTTTGGTTTTAAACGCACCATGGCCGTCAACTCGGCTCGATGCTTTGAAATCTTAAAGGATCCGGTTTGCTGGAATCAAGCATTTCTTTGCTCTGCTAAATGGCGTGTGTGCCGTCTTCTTCCTCCTCCTCTTTCCCCCGACCAGACCTGTTGGTGCGGTTAGTATCGGTTGACCTCCACACGTTTGGACCCGACGCCCTGACAGCGGTGCGGTTGATCGAGCATCAGGCCAGCGCCGACCAGGCGGCCGAGGCCCGACCACAGCTGGTGGAGCAGGTCCCTGCAGCCGTGCAGGGAGCAGCAGCGCCTGGTGAGTGTCTGTCCGTCACACAAAATCTCTCCCCCATTTGAGGGGTGGGTCCATTGAGTTTTTAGAAATAATATATGTTACTTAAAGAGAGAGGAAAAAAAACACCTTTTTGATTATTCCGACTTTGCCGAGACTCCAGGATGGTTGGAGCATTTCTACGCAAATAAAATGAAGTCATTCAAATGAATGTCAACAACACCCATTGAATGTAACAAATACAGAATCGCTGACATCATTTTCTGTGTCACTCCGATAAATTGCTTGGATTTTTTTTTACGGTGAAAAACGGTACACAGAGGTTGGCAATTTTCTGATCTCTTAATTCTTCTGTGGTAATTAATAAGGACGGCCAGAGTCCAGCAGTTTTCCATATTTGCGATGAAGTAGAAAATATAAAGATAAGATGAACACCTATTTAGTTTTAGATCTCTCTCCCTTTTTAAGTGTTTGCTTATATTCTAGTGGGCAGAGACAAAGGAATCAGGTCCACTGCAGCACAAGTATTTAATGAACAGGTGTCTCTTGGAACCTGGAAGTACCCATCCTTGTGCTGTCGGTGTGCTGCACAGGGCTGCAAAGTTATCAGTTTGCTGACATCTAGTGGACACCCTGGGGAGTACTACACACTTAGACAAGTTCACCACATTCTCTTGTTTTGAGCATTAGAACAGCTATACAGAAGCATAAACCTCAATGTCTTTTTATTCTTTTTTTGTCTTTTCAGTAACGAGGGTCCCGGTTCAGTCCACCCAACCCCCACCTGGTATTGTTGAACTCGACGGGGAAAAATTTACACTGCAGTGGTAAGATGAAGTCCCCTGTAGATTCTGATATTCTAGCTAAAGAAAAATCCAGTTGGGATGTTTTTTTGCTTGCGTAGTAACCACTCTGTCTGTCTCCAACAGGCTGAACGCACACTTTGAGACAAACCCAGAGGGCTCCGTGTCTCGATCAGAAATGTACTCAGAGTACCTGGCCACGTGTAGTAAAATGGGACGAAGCAACATCTTGAACTCCACCGGCTTCCTCAAATGTCTGCGGTCAGTCCCGTTTCTTCC